GAAACGCGCCTCCGGAGCCCCAGCGCGCGGCCCGGCGGGGAGAGGGGGCCCGGGAGGGCGGACGGCTCAGCACCCCGAACCCCGGGACGCCCCAAAGCTCCCAGCCCGGAGTGCGGAGCTGCGGGGAGGGCCTGAGACTGGCAGCGCCAGGCCCGCAGTCTGCCTCGGGGGCTTCTGCAGCCACCGTAGGTTGGAAAGATAAAGATTTTATTTGAAAAGCTTCTGGTCCTCTGCTTTGGCACCGAGCCCCTCCCCATTCTCTGCCGGCGTCGGAAGTAGCCGGCGAGGAACTCCTTCTACTTAGATCGTCCCCTCCTTCCCGAAATAGGCCCAACCCAAAGTGAGGGGAGCCCTGGAGAGGCCGCGGCCGCCTCCCTCCTTTCCCCAGAAGCCCCTCGAGCGCGCGACGCGCCCGCGCTGAGCGGAGCGGCGGGTGCCACCTGCGGGGGACCTTCCGCCTTGCCCTGGGGGCTTCGGGCCCAGCTCCACACGCAAAGGCCCCAGGATGTGCCTGACCAAGAGTGAGGGGCAAAGGCACTCTCCCGGGGTGAGCTCGGCGGCGCGCACCGGCCCCTCCACCCGCGGCCGTCCTGCAGAAAGCGCGGCCCCAGGCCTTCCAGCACAGGTCGGAGGGGAAAGGGGACGACTCGGTGAAGCCCAGATTTCCACGGGTCTCCAAACCTTTTCCTCCCCAGCCATGGAGCTCCTCCTGGTTGTGCCTGATGAAACAGTAAGAGCAGGCCTCTCAAGTGTGCCCTGGGGGAGGAAGGAGTACGGGATCCTGTGCATTGGGGTGGGGTGAGTCCAAGGCGCCTGGCACCCTCTGCAGCAGCTGCTCTGCGCGCTGGAACCAGGGGCTGAGATTGCCTTGGGGTCAGGCTGGCGTCTATTAAATCCCCACGCAGCCATCTCCCAAGTCGTCTGTCCTGTGGCAAACACTGCCAGGGAGGGGGCTTCAGAGCGAGGGGGGGAAACAACACTAGCTGAGCTTGTAACCTTTTTTAGTTAGCAGGCACTCAGCTGCCGCTGCTGGCAAGAGGTTCTAGCCCAGACCTGCTAGAACCGGTTGGTTTCCTGCAAATGTGGGGGGAGGGGAAAGCTAAGGCCTATGGACACACACCCATACATTGGGCAAACGGGGTTACAGGTTTTCTGTGCTTGCTCTGTAATGACTTCATATGGCACACACTATATTATCCAAGGTGGCAGGTCCCACGTCTGTTCTCCTGGCAGGGCTGATTCTTGGGCTTAGCACCCAGGGGTCGAAAAGAGGGCAACTCTGGAAGGGATGATGCGTCTGAAGCTCCAGAAAAGTTCCAGAAAATCTGTCTTAGCCGAACATGGGCAGGACCCAGTTCTGGTGGAATTGGAATCTTGAAACTCCAGAGGTCCAGGGAGGGGCAAATTCACAGTGGAAGCGATGGCTGAGGTTGCAAAGATTACCACATTTTCAAGCCTAATATTGTTAGACTCACCCCAGCCCAGAGCGGGCAAGGGACCTGGAAGATCATTCAGGCGTGGGAGAGAATGAAGTCGAGCAGATCACAAGCTGGCCCACAGTTTCACACCAGGAAGCGACTGCCCCGTCCCATTCACCTGCACCAGCAGGGTGCCTCCCCACGGCCCTGGCCTGACTGTGCCAGGATGTAAAATGGCCATGGCCAGAGCCGGAGCCAACCTACCAGTCATTAACCATGTGGTAAAGTAGAGGTCTAGAAAAGCACAGGTTGCCCCTTCTTGAGGATCTGCAAGCTGGGCTCTGAAACTCAGTGTAGCCAGGGGTAAGTAAATTCTTCCCGAAAGCCAAGTCTGGAGCGAACCCTGTTTAGCAGCACATTGGGCTCTGGGTAGAGTGGCCTGGATGTAGCAGGGCTCCTCCCAGCCCACAGACACAGACTCTGATGATGCTCCCTGGATTTCTGCGGGGAGTTGTCCCTGGCACTGGCTCAGAACATGCTTTGATAGCCCTTGTGGTCTCAACACACCAGGGCAGGCCCCAGAAGCAAACGTCTTAAGGACAGTCCCAGGGTTCCATTCTTTCATGCATGCAAACGCTCCCCCCTCCCCCAAGACTTCTAGGACACTAGAAAGGGGGGAAACTCTTGGGGGGAAACACACTTAGGAGAATGGGAGTCTTGCTCATAGACCACAAGCAAAGCGATAAACTTGAACCCGGGGCTCTGGATTCCTATTCCAGTGCTCCTAGCAAAGCTTAAAGGGCTGAGAAAGAAGAAACGTCTATACCCAGGTTCCAGCTGCAAGCGGAGGGCAGAGCCTGGGCTTTGTGTTGGCTTGGGTCCTGGCGGCAGGAGCCGGATCGGCTCAGGCCTGCAACAACTCATAGCCAAAAGGTAAAACGAAGTAGAAAGGACCAGTTGGGGAAGGAACTCAGCCCCTGGCTTTTCAAAACGTAGATAACATCAGCAGCCCTTCTCCCAGGGAACCAGTAACACGTGTTTCCACACCGTCCTGACAAAGAAGCAAAAAACAGGACCCCCTTTTTAAGCCCCTAATTCCCGAGCTCAGCAACCCGGTTGCCCGCTGGAAGCGGCGGAGCCCA